GCAGATTTTTTAAAAAAACAAATACTGAAATATGAGGTCTATAGGTTAGATGATAGGGCAATAGTAATTTTCTGATTTTGATCATTATACTTTGGTTGTGTAAGAGAGTATCTTTCTAATGAAATATACAATTTAGTGTTTAGGAATAAAGGGCCATCCTGTGGGCAGTTTACTCTCAAATGATTCTGAAGTAAATGTGTATGTGTATGTGTGGAGAGAAAGAGAGGTGGCAGGGGGAGAGACAGAGAAAATAAAGCAAATTCAGTAAAATGTTAACCAGTAGAGAATCTGGGTAAAGGGTATATGGGAGCTCTTAGTACTAGTTTTACAACTTTTTTATAAGTCTGAAATTCTATCAAAATAAAATTTATCTAAGAAAAGGTGAATGAATTCAAAACCAGATAGTAAATAAATGAAACAAAACTGGCAAAATGTCAATGTGTTTTAAAGTTGGACGATAGGTACATGGAGATTCATTGCATTATTTTGTCTACTTGATGTATGCTTGTAAACTTCCACAATAGACATTTAAAAGGGAATTAATCTACAGTGATCTCTTCATTGATAATGTAGGTTTACTTTCTCCTTAAACGCTCTTGCTTATTTTGGGCATGTAAGAATGGATCATGTTGAAAGAAACTAAAGAAGACCTAAATAAATGGTAAGACACCTCATGTTCCATAGATTGGAAGACAATATTATTAAGATGAAAATACCCCCAAATTTATATATAGATTCAACTCAAACCTTAGCAAAATCCCATCTAACTTCTTTGCAGAAACTGACAATCTGATTCTAAAATTCATATGGAAATTCAGGGGACCCAGAATAGCCACAAAGGTCTTGAAAAGATGAACAAAGTTGAAGGACTCACCTTTCTTGACTTCAGAACGTACTACAGTGCTACAGTAATCAAGTTGGTGCAGTACTGGAGTTGGAGATCAAGATCAGCAGAATAGAATTGAGAGTGTAGAAATAAACCATATATTTATGACCAGTTGATTTTGGCAAGGGTGCCAAGGCAATTAAATAAGAAAAGAATAATCTTTTCAACAATGCTGAGATAGTGACATATCCATATGAAAAAGAATGAAGTTGGACCCCTACCTCACACCATATACAAAATTACCTCAGAATGGATCAAAGACCTAAATGTAAGAATTAAAACTATAATACCCTTAGAAGAAAATAAATCTTCATGACCTTGGGCTAAGCAGTGTTTTCTTAAAATATGACCCCAAAAGCATGAGCAACAAAAGAAAAATAGATAAATTGGACTTGGTCAAAATTATTTTTTGTGCTTTAAAAAAGAAAAGAGACAAACCACAGAATGAGAGAACATTTTTGCAAATCATATATCTGATAATAGACTTGTATCTAGATGATAAAGGAACATTACAACTCAGTAATAAAAAAAGACAACTGAATTTTTAAAAAGGGGCAATGGATCTGAATAAACATTTCTCCAAAGAAGATATACAAATAGCCAATAAACACGTGAAAAGATTTCCAACACCATTAGCTATCAGGGAAATGCACATTACAACCACAGTGAGATACCACTACACAACCGCTATGATACCTTTTTTCAATTAAAAAAAAAGATAGATAATATTAAATGTTAAATGTTGGTGAGGATGTGAAGAAATTGGAACCTTCATACACTGCTAATGGGAATGTGAAATGTACAACTAATTTGGAAAAGTCTGGCAGTTCCTAAGTAAGTTAAACATATAAATTATTATATGACACAGCAATTCCACTCTTAGGTATACACCTAAGAGAAATGGAAATACATGTTAGCACAAAAATTGGTTCACAAATGTTCATGGTAGCATTATTTATAATAGCCCCAAAGTGGAAACAACCCAATGTCTATCAGTTGATGAATGGTGTATGCATACAGTGGAATATTGTGCTGCAATAAAAAGAAGTGAAGTACTGGTACAACGTGGATGAAGCTTGAAAACCTTTTGCTATGTGAAGAAGCCAGTCACGAAAGACCACATATTGTATAATACCATTTAATATGAATGTACAAAATAGGCAAATCTATGGAGACAGAAAATAGATTTGTGATTGTCTAGGGCTGAAGGGAGGTGTCAAATGTGTATGTGTGGTCAGAGTGGGAGGGATGATGGCTTAGGTGGGGTTTTAATTTGGGGTAAAGACAGTGTTCTTAATTGCTTGTACGGGTGGATGCGCAAGTTTGAATCTACCAAAAACCATTGAATTGTATACTTTGAATGAATGAATTATATGGTATATGAATTATATCTCAATAAAGCTGTTTTTTAACAAAAATCTGATCATTCTTTTATAAGATAACAAGCTCAATGAGAAAAGAGCTGTATATAGAAAGTATTATTAGTGTAATTTGGAGTGTTTTCAGCTTGCATTTCAATAGTTGCTGTCATTAGAAACTGCTTTTGAAATGTTTGTTCTCAAAAGCAACTTTCATGTTGTGGATAAACAAAAGTACATGAAACAAAAGTACATTCATTCTGCATTCAGTTGTACCAATCCACAGTGTAGCCATAGATGTTAGAACCATTTAGCATGTAAAGTAGAGATATGTAGCTAGAATTGTCTGTAAGATGAAGTCTTACTAAGGAAAGGAAGCTACTTTGGGAAGTATGATTGATTGACAGAACTGAGATAGTACTGACTGGTAACTGATTATTATTAGTGTCATGTGGATAACTGTTTTTTCATCAGTTTTTAGAGACAGAATTATTGTCTTCTGTCACTTATCTCAAAATCTCAGTTAAAAATTGATTCACAGAGAGTGAGGAAGAAGAAAGTTACATGTAAACTTGTAAGATTTATTTACATTAAATTTTTTACTTGGCCTTCCCAAGTAAGAAAGTTGCATAAAAGTTAATCTAGTGGTTTTGTTAAGAACTAGTTAATGTAGTGGTTTTGTGATGAGTAGCTTGAAAATGAAGATTTTTAATATAACAAATTATTTCTAGGCTTGAGCTTTATATTGTTCCCAATGGGAAAAATATAATTTGAGCAAAGGTTTTCACTTATAGTAAAAGTAACATTTTTTTCCTCTTGAATTTTAACAATCAGAAGGAAAAATCCAAAAAACAAAGTATTATGTTCTGTAAAATAATCATTTGTGACTTTAAGGTTGAAGAAGGTAACAATAGTGGAAGTTTAAATGCAAAAACTATTAATGGTATCTTAGATAGTGTTACTGTATTGAAGTTATGTTTCCATTAAATTGAATCAAATGCAAAATAGCTTTATTTTTATCTACATGATCCTAAATAACAATTGTATTTTTTTCACTCAGTTGTGAAATTATATGGACATAGTTATAATGCAGATGAGTTCTACAAAAATTTCTACTATCAGAGTTCAGAAAGTTTTTCATTACTATTACTGATGTTTAAAGACAAGTAAGACAGACTAATGGGTTGAAATGTGAGCTTTTCAAAATAGTATAAAATTACTAATTGCTGTGGTTTTGAGTGTTTTTTGCCTTTCCCTTTCCCAAGGCCATTATAAGGATTTCACTTGATTTCTTCCCTGCTCTTAACTTTTGAAAAGCTTTAAGCTAGAAGTAATTTGGGGATTCTATGCAACCTGACGGGGAGGAAACTAAAGGTGAAGTAGTTTTTTCGGGAGTTTTGTGGAGAGGGAATGTGGAGAAACGGGACTGAAGAAAGTACATAGGAGAAGAAAGAAGGATTTTTAAAAGTATTGTTCAAGAAATAAAATTAAATAACTTATTTTGAAATTAGTTTTTGATTGCCTTTGAGTTCCTCTGGCTACAATGCAGGTTGAGATGAGACAACATGGGTCAAAGATTTAATGAAGTTGGGAATTGTCAAAAGGTTTATATCAATGACTGTTATGGAAATGTGGGGGAGGAGAGAACAATCTAATCTGGAAATGGAAAGTATTGCCACAAGGTGACATTCACTGTTGTTTTTTTGTTGAACATTTTATTATGTTAGGGAACAAGTTAAGTAGTTGATTTATGGCCTAACATTTTTTCTTATTTGAATAACAATTTTTTTCTCCTTTGAGGCATTGAACATTATGTTGGCCTGGGGAAAGGGAATATAGAAAAAAATGGAGTAAAATTTGATTCTAGTATGTCTTTCCTATATATAAAACAAACTTGGCATGTCTGTATTTTCTTTTTGTCCTATGATCTGTCAAATCCTGCTCTATACTGTCAGCGAAATTGTTAGCATTTTCTCTAAGTGGAAGTGTAGAGATAATCTTTAAAGTAACTAGGTGTCATATAAATTCTTCAGGATTTTAATATCGATCACTATGGCAATCATCTTTTTTCTTTTAGCCTTATTTGTTGTTTCAGCTCTCAAAATTAAATTCAAGATTCCACAGATAAAAGATTTCTAGAGTTATCCTTGAGATAGCAACTTGTAAGTGAATGGTCTTCAGTATTATTTGTATATGTAGTAAAACCATTACATGCTGTTTCTCTATATAATGCTTCCAAAATGGAAGAGGAGGGGGAATTTTTATAGACTGTTACTGCTAGGCCATGGACTTTTAAAGAAATATTTCCTTCATTTGGATGGACCCTTTCATTATCAACATTTCTATGAAATTATCTGGCTTAAAACATCTGATATTACTTTAGAGCAAAATTGATTGGTCATGTAGAAAAATAGGCTCTTGAGGCTTTTTAGAGGGATCCTAACTGTATAAAACTAACATGTCATAGATTAGAAAACTAGAGTGTCAGTGTTTTTGTGTTCACTCTGTGAAAACAAATTGGAAAAGTAAATGGAAAATGTAAAGATGATAAGGACTAAGTCATCTCTACTTTTTATTGATAATATGACCTTATAAACGTTCTTTACTACCATTAAAACTCAAATTACTTCATGAACAAAATGAAATCTCAGATTCACTAATGAAGTGATTTCAGAAATATGTACATAGCTAAAGACCTTGCAAACTGGAAAATCCATTAATTGGAAATTAACTTCCTGTGCATTGTTTTCTTGCAGGGAACAAATCACAAGACAGTGGCATAGCAGAGATGGAAGAACTTCCTGTACCACATAACATCAAAATAAGCAATATAACGTGTGACTCATTCAAGATTTCATGGGAAATGGATTCAAAATCAAAGGATCGCATTACACACTATTTTATTGACCTCAACAAGAAAGAGAACAAGAACTCCAATAAATTTAAACACAAGGTAAAGTCTAACAAATACTCATGCTCATTTGCATCTTAAAACTTTCTAAGTATGAGGACATTTTAAAAGAACGAGTAATATTCTATTAATGGCTTATGTGATGTATTTGACTTGGGAAAAAATAAAAATTATATGTAACTTTAAAACCCTATCATTCTAATAAGTTTTGTAAGAAAATGAAATGCCATGCTTATTGTTAGAAGATAATTTTCAAAAAAAGGTAAAATCATGACTATCATCTAGATGTAAAAATTAATTTACGTTAAAGATTTTATTTAACTCATTAATGAGGAAACCGATGAGGTGTTATAACCAGTTCAAAGGGTAATCCAAAGAAAAGACTCATTTGTAGATCCAGGTATAAACTGGTAGTCCTGATAGGAGGGGTGAAGAGGAGGGTTGTCCTCCACTGAACATAATTTATTTGTATGTATTTAAACAAGAAAAACTGAATTGTTATTAGTTTCTACAAATTACAGAATTGTAAAATGGCTTCCATAACAGAGACTGATAGCCAGAAGAGGGTGCTATAGGCAACGCATAGTTTTCCCCTGAAGCACACATTTTTTCCTTTAACTGCCAAACAAGGAATCTGATGCAATTTATAAACTTCAAGGTATTTTAAAAACATTTTAGGGCTAAAAATTGCTTTAGATAGTCTGCTGTCTTTTGCTTTTTGTTTTTTGTTTTGATAATGAAAATTTTTGTCTTTCGCTTTTTAGTTTTGAGAATGAAAATTATTAACTTTTAAATGTTTTTAGACATATAACACTTCTCTGATATTTATTCACATATCATATATCTTTTCTGATATAGCTGTCTCTCCAGAAGTATCTATAGAGAAAATAACAGTTATCTGCTTTAAGCATTCTTTCTTATGTTGCAGTGTTTTCACAAATGATGAAAATCAGTATCAATACCTTAATATTGATATCAAGTTTTAACTTGGTAGATACTTTGGAACTTTCTTATCTTACCTAGAAATATTGCTTTTATTAGATGTGCAATTATATATACTAAAGATAAGTGAGGATCATACATACTACAGATAAGTGTGAAAGAGGGAGCAAGATTGAGCAGTCATTATTTTTTCTGAGTTCCAATTCTGATTATGCTTTCTAGTGATGGATATTCTCTTTGCTGACATTTGCCTTGTTTATATGGCTTTGAAATCTTAAATTTCAAATATTAAATGATGAATTGTTCAAGATTTGACCCTTTTTCTTCACTGTCCACTTGGAATACCATATCCTTGGAAAGACACATAGAGTCTATACTTGAATGAAAGTGAAGGCCGGGCGCGGTGGCTCAAGTCTGTAATCTCAGCACTTTGGGAGGCCGAGACGGGCGGATCACGAGGTCAGGAGATCGAGACCATCCTGGCTAACACAGTGAAACCCCGTCTCTACTAAAAAATACAAAAAAACTAGCTGGGCGAGGTGACGGGCGCCTGTAGTCCCAGCTACTCGGGAGGCTGAGGCAGGAGAATGGCGTGAACCCGGGAGGCGGAGCTTGCAGTGAGCTGAGATCCGGCCACTGCACTCCAGCCTGGGCGCCAGATCAAGACTCTGTCTCAAAAAAAAAAAAAAAAAAAAAGAAAGTGAAGTAAAAATTCATATTTTTAGTGTTTTCTCCTTTAACATGTAAAATATCAAGTAATGGGCAGCTTTAGTAAAATTATTGGATAGTATAAGTTAACCAAATATAATATTTTAATACTATTGAACTTTATCTTTTATGCCTCTGTTTTTTAAAGTTTTGTCATTTAGTACGAGAATGCTGCATTTTGAGGAGCATATAGTGTACAGAAAGAAACACCATATTAGAAATCAAGAAAACTGGAATCCAAGTACATTTATGTTATTAACAAGCTGTATGACCTCAAGCTTGTCTCTTGATAAAGTTAGTTCTTAGTTTTTTGCATATGGCAAATAAGAGATTTAAATATAATAATTGTTAAGTATCTTTAAGCAGTAAATTCTATTGTCAGTCAGGAATTTAATAAATTCTTCTCCATTGTTTACAGTTGATTAAAGTTATACTACTAAATTAACTTCCTCCTTTCCCCTCCTTCCTTCCCTCCCTCTTTCCCTTGTGCCTTCCCTCCTTCTCTCTTCCCTCCTTCCTCTCTTCTCCCTTTTCTTCCTTCTTCACTTCCTTCCTCCTTCTCTGTCTCCTCTCATTTTTCTCTCTCTCTTCCTTCTTTCATTCCTAGGATGTTCCCACAAAATTGGTGGCAAAAGCTGTTCCCTTGCCTATGACTGTCCGTGGACACTGGTTTTTAAGTCCAAGAACTGAATATACGGTAGCAGTGCAGACTGCCTCAAAACAAGTTGATGGTGATTATGTTGTGTCTGAATGGAGTGAAATTATAGAATTCTGCACTGCAGGTAAGAGAACTAGGTACAAATACAGAAAAAAAGTTAATTGATCTGGGAAAGCTAATTATAGAAAAATATTTCTTTTTTGTAATTGCAAGGTGATATATATATGACATTGGTCATTTTTTGCACTGTCAGTAGCATTGTGTAACAGAATAAACAATGTTGTATTGATTGGAGGAAGCTGAAGTTCTCAGAAAAATCTGAGTAATGGCTTCAAATCACTTTTTTTTCTATATCCATAGTTTGATTTTTTCAAGATGAAAACTGTGCAAATAAAAAGGTATGCAGTTTGAAAATATACTCAGCATATTTTTTAGCTTCATTTTGAGAGAGGACAGAGCTTTCTTCTTCTTTTTTTTTTTTTTTTTTCCTTTTTCATTTTCACCAATACTGAAAGGCAGAAACTACAAAAATCCTTTTCTAATTCAGGTGAATGGAGGCAGATCTCAGTGACTGTCCCTAGCAGAAATGTTACTAGATTTTTCACTAGAGTACTAAAAGACCTTAAGAAAATCTGCATCTAAACTAGTGTCCTGTATACATATGTGTGTCTTTCCTTCACTAGAAAGTACCTCAAAGCCATTGTTTTGGGAGGTTTGATGTGGAACTGAACCTTAATATTCCATTAGATTGGAAACATTATCATTCATCTCAGTCATGTATCTATTGTTTACTCATTCATTCAAGAAACAGTCATTTATTGAGCACTTCAGTGTTAATGGGATACAAAGATATCTCTGCCTGAGTACTCCTGTCATCCTTTCCTTTTGTCTTTTAGAAAGAAACTTTGTTTCCTCCTGTTCATCAAGATGACCGTTTCCTATAAAAAATTATAGAGAGAGGCTGAATCTACAAGGAGCTTAACCTGTTCAAAGCTCTTGTTTATCAGAGTAATTTACAGACTTTTCACATAAACTTTATCAATAACCTTGACTCTAAGTTTTGATAAAGCTATTTTGTATAAGTTGACTTTTAATCTGAACATTGAATTCATTCAACATTAATTAAGCCCATACTGTGAGCTAGGCACTGTGCAATGTATTGGTAATAAAATAAAATAGAATGCTACAGGCTAATCTACTTCTTTTCTAGTCTATGGCAGCGTTTAAAACCTTGTGCTTATCCCAATCTCAAAATGCTAATACTTACCATAATAAATCATTATTGTACATATATTTATCTCTTCTCTTAGATTATCAGTTCTTTGCAAGGAATAGTAATATCTTTTTTTATCTTTTAACTTGATCATCTAATTTTGCATAGTACCTTTTACATCGTATGTTCTAATCTCAGTAACTGTTTATTGAGCCAATGAAGCAATTTAACTAGGTTGCTTCTGTTTGGAAATTGTTACTAATCTTTACAGGCCAAAATATTTCCCTAGTTTCTGGTATAGGAGTTAGACAGCAATTCTCAAACAACTTTCAAAACAAAAAGTGGGTTAAAAAAAATCAGGTTACTTTGACAGATGCTTTAGAGTTTCAAGCATGTTGTGTACCCAAGTCTTATGTACTCATTACTATTTTTGCTGTCCAACTTTTCTATTGGTTGCGGATTATAAGCTTCTTTTATTCAGTTTATCAACTGGTTGAAGAAAAGCTAGTATGGTGCTAATGGATATTACTTGGATTATGAAAAGTTATTTAGCTTAATTGTTTCAGTATCTCTAATTTCAAAAAATGGAAAAATGCAGGCAAAGGTATTCTAAGAAACAACCATAAACCATAACAAAAATGTTTTGTAGAAAGAAAAATGTGCCACACAGACAATGAATATTTTCTTTTTTAAATGGAATTTCCTATTTATTAAGTTGAATTCCCTATAGATGAATTTTAATAATCTTCAATTTATTAAGTATATAGTTGGTACTTTTGGTGCAAAATTTTTAATAACAAACTTTTTTGGTTTTTTTCCAGACTATTCAAAAGTTCATCTAACACAATTGTTGGAGAAGGCTGAAGTGATTGCAGGACGCATGCTTAAGTTTGCTGTTTTTTATCGTAATCAGCACAAAGAATATTTTGACTATGTTCGGTAAGATTCAAAATATATAGTGATTTGTTTTACTAAATATAGTTTCAAATTTTAGGCTCAGGTTTCCCTTGATTCTAGTTCTGTCAAATAGCAGTGCTAGATTTCTTTTCAAAATAACTATACGGAATTTTATTTTCCAGAAAAATTAAGTAGAAAAGATCATGAGATTTTTTTCTATTTCACTTAGATTCCTTTCCATAATCATTTGTGATACCAGTTCCTGCCTATTTGACTAGAGGATCTTAAACCTGTGGTATTTAGATTGATGAGCATTTCATGTACACACTCGTCCTGCTGTCTACTTCATACTGACTACTAATTTTTTCCTCTTTTTGTGGGTCTTTTTAAGACATTGAAAATGAGAGGATAAAAGAGTGACTGTTTCATGAAATATTATGGTGAATCAGGTGGGATTCGCAGACTTCTACCTAAGTAGAAGTCTTTTAGCTGTTGTATTTTTTCAGGCTGCTGATAAAATACACCCAAGATTGGGTAATTTACAAAAGAAAGAAGTTTATTGGACTTACAGTTCCACATGGCTGGAGAGGCCTCACAATCATGGTGGAAGGCAAGGAGAAGCAAGTCACACCTTACATGGATAGCAGCAGGCAAAAAGAGAGCTTGTGCAGGGAAACTCCTCCCCTTTTTAAAACCATCAGATCTCATGAGACTCATTCACTATCATGAGAACAGCACAGGAAAGATCCCCCCTCCCCATAATTCAATCAACTCCCACCGGGTTCCTCCCATGACATGTGGGAATTGTGGGAGTTACAAGTCAAGATGAGATTTAGGTGGGGACACAGCCAAAACATACCAGCTGTTATCTTGAATTAATTATCATGAGGATAATCTCCTTTGTTTACTTTTAAATTCTAGTGATTTTACTAAAATTTCTAAGATAGCCTACGTTTATCCCTGGAAGCAGTTCCTGAGAAGTTAAAAGAACTCTATCCTGCAGGTAGTTTTTATACTTACAGCACTTTCATGTTTGTAGAAGAAAATTTGAAGAGAATAAATAGCCCAGATGTGTGTTTTGTGTTTTAAAAGCCTTAGTGAGACTAAGGCTTTTAAAATGGCAAATGCTGTATAGGTTGTAAAACTTCTTACATAGCATTCCCTATAATTTATCATTTTAAAAGCCTCACTTCAGACTCTAAAGGATTCTTAAGTTGACAGGACTATGTATGAAAAGTATTTAGGAAACTTTGTTGTTCTTTGTATTTGTGTCTTTCATACTTCTCTAGTTTCTCTTAAATGAAGATCATGGTTCCAGATTTAAATCAGCTTCAAGCTGTGGAAAATGCAACAGGAATGAGAGAGAGAAGAACACACATAGGCATCTGTGTTCTTCAAATTAAGTACTTAGCAATAGAATATATTTTTACATATTTTGATGGCGAAAAAAATATTCCTGCCATTTGTTTGAATATCTTATAAATACAGAGTTTAGTCCTTCATTTTCTCTATTGGTGTTTACTCTAGAGTCCATATAATTCCTGGTAGATACCATTCACCTAATTTAGAGTGTACAGACTGATACATATAACATAAATTATTATGCTTGTCAATTGTGGATTGACAATGACCATATAGACTCAGCAAGGAAGGTGTTTCTTTATACAGATGCTCCTTGACTTACGGTGGGGTTATGTCCCATTAAACGCATTGTAAGTTGAAAATGCATTTAATACACCTAACCTACAAAACATCATAGCTTAGCCTAGCCTCCTTAAACACTTTCAGATCACATTAGCCCACAGTTGGGCAAAATTATCTAACAGAAAGCCTATTTTATTAAAAAAAAAAAAAAAGTGTTGAAAAGATCAACATTCAAAGTACAGTTTCTACTGAATATGCATCATTTTCACACCATCATAAAGTCAAACAATTGTAAACCAAACCATCATAAGTCAGGAACTGTCTGTATTTGTTATGTATAAAATTTGAAAACAAAAAAAAACTCCTCCATATTTCTGTTGTCTTTGGTAAGAAATACATCAAAAGAATAATTACATCTTGGATTTTAGGTTTATATTCCTAGTACATTGCCAACATCTATTTTAGGTGGCCACTGGAGGGCAGTATTTCTCTGTGATTTTTCTCTGTCCCTTGAATGGGAACTGGCCTTTGTTTTTAGGGCCTTTAGTGATCTAAAGTTTGCTTCATCTGTTTTCAAAAATGCTTCCAAGAATAAAAAAAAAATAAAAATAAAGACAGAGTGCCTAGAAAATGGATAATTATTGTGTATATTGCATGATTTTACTCCCAGCTACCAGTATGAAAGCTGTGTTTACTAACAAGAAAATTTACCTTTGTTAAGTTTTCCATAATGATAGTTATAAAATCCATGTAAAATATGTCTTGGTGCAGTACGTATAAATAAATATACTTTCCACAGTGTGGTATAATTTTTCGACATTGCTTTTTTAAGAAGCCTTATTAAAAAGTAGTAGACATTGATTTCATGGATGTTGATTTTTTTTGTCATTAACTCTAATTAAGACACATTTCCTTGATTAAAATCCATTTTAAATATCATCTTGTTATTCAGAATGCTTGAACAGAAAGGAAAATTTAAATTACTGGATAAACTTTCCAAAGTTTATAATCCATTTTAAATTATGAAAAACTGGATAAATTCTTATTCAGTCCATAAGGAATGAACTCATTTTGACCTCTTCCTCTAGAAATGAATTCCTAAATGAACATTGCTTTCCCATACTCCAAATGAAAACACTACTTTCTCTCTTACCCCTTGTTCATATTCACTAGGTAGCCTAATTGTCCTTAAAATACCCCTTTTATATCTGAAGGGTTTCAGGAATTCACTGAGATTGGTAGACATGTGTGGGAATTCCTCTACCTCTGGTGTCAAATTGTATATCCTCCAAGTGCAGGTCCTAGTACACATTTTCTGTTTATATATATGTTGCTGTTATTATTTCATGTAATTGCACTTAGAGATCCATGTAGGACACATATATAGATATTTGGATTTTGTTAATGAGAATGTAACCAAGAAGAGACATTTTGAACAGGGAAAGGTTGGAGTAAATACTCTTTTCCCTATTTCTCCCACATTTATCTATTGTTTACTCATTCATTCAAGAAACAGATTATTGAGCACTTCAGTGTTAATGGGATACAAAGATATCTCTTTTGTCTGTGCCAATGAGCACAGACAAAAAAGAAATAAAGAACACCAGAAAGTCTGTTCTCGTTACCCACAGGATCAGGAAAGAGACTGAGATGTCTTGGAATACAGAAACCTTTTAGACAATAACCACCATACCCCAGGCAAACAGTATAGAAAAAAAAAACAAAAAAACTGTAGTCCCTCATGTACCAGCCAACGCTAAGTGGGGAACCTAGACCTCTATCCTTTTACATCTATAAGAGGACATCCTTCTCCCTCCATCCTCTGCTAGGGTGGTATCAGAGAAGCCTGAATAGGGAACCCAGACTTTCCACCACTGCCCAAAGAAAATGAGGCTTGCCCTCATAGTATGTGAAGCCACATGTCAAGTAGTAATGAGACACCCCTTCTCTCTCTGACCTAGACTATGTTAACATAGGCCTAGTGGAAGCCTAAACTCCTACCTCCTCCAAGTAGTAACTGACCCCCTCCCTACCCTGTGTCACTGGAGACTGAGTAGGAAACCTGGACTTCTATCCCCATCTGACATCAATGAAGTGACTACCCCATACTCTTCACCTACTGGTAGATAGTCAAGAGGAGTCCTGCTAAAATACTAGATTTAAATCTGATCCAAAATATAATAACATAAAACTTAAAATGCCCAGGATACAAATGGAACTCATGTATCACACCAAGAACCAGGAAAATCTTAACCTGAATGAGAAAAGATGATCAAAGATACCAAAACCAAAATAATGCAGATCTTGGAATTATCTGACAAAAATATTTAAGCAGCCACCATAAAAATAGTTCAACAAGCACACACTAACACACTTAAAACAGATAAAAACAGAAGCAGCAAAGAAATAGAAGATACAAAGAATTAAATGGAAATTTTGGAACATAAAAACACAGTAAGTGAAGTCAAAAGCTGAATAGACTCCATGGATTCCACAGCAGATTCAAGAGGACAAAGAGAAAAAAATAGTAAACTTGAAGATAGAATAGAAATTACCCAAATTGAACAACAGAGATAAAACTCACTGAAAAAAAATATATCAGTCTTATGGACATGTGAGACTATAGCAGAGCTAATATTCATGATGTTAAAGTCAAGAAGGAAAGGAGAAAGAGGGTGGGGCTGAAAAAGTATTCATAGAAATAATAGCCAAAATGTTCCCAAATTCGCCAAATAACATAAACATACAGATTCAAGCTGAGAAAACCCTAAATGGGATAAACCCAAAGAAATCCATGCCAAGATACATTACAAACTGAAAACTGCAGGCCAAAGCGGGGGTGGGGGGGAACATTGAAAGTGGTGAGATATAAGACACCACTATATAAGGAAAAATAAAACAATTTGAATGACATCATCATCAGAAACTACCTAGACCAAAAGAAAGTGACATAATATTTTCAAATGCTGAAAGAGCACTGTCAACTGAGAATCCTATATCCAGTGAAAATATCCTTCAATAATAAAAGGGAATTAAGATATGCTCAGATGAAGGAAAACTAAGGGGATTTGTCAACAGCATATCTATCCTAAAAGAAGTTTCTGAAACAGGAAGGAAGGAAATAATAAAAGAAGGAATCTTGGAACATCAGAAAGAAAAAAAGAACAGTACAAGTAAAAGTATAGGTCACATCCAGGATAACACACTACATTCATTTGTTGTGTTTCCGTATTCTCTTAACTGTGACAATTTTTTGGTCTTTCCTTGAATTTGCATTTTTAATAAACTGCCTAGGTGGTTTTCAGGTGGTAGAATTTGAGACCCATTGCTGCTAAATTCAGAGGCTGATCCAGGCATTTCACTGACCCATAAACTCTTTAAGAAGCACGTTGACTGGGGGAACTTTCCCTTACTTGAGTAGTAGCTTGAACTTTGCTTCCCAAGTCATGCTGGTCAGGGACCCAGAAAAAAAAAAAAAGGCACACTTGGGGAATTCTGGAGAGAATTTAACAAAACTACCCCTCATAGAGGTGTAGTCAGGGTTAAGGTAACAAACAGGGGATGCTAAAGTAACCAAGAACTAGCACTAGCAAGAATTGAAAAGTTTTACTCTTCTTGGGAATTAAAGGGAATAGGAATTAATCCAGCAGTAGCAGTAGTCAGAGATACACAGTTATGAAGAACCCAGCCCTGCCAGAACCACAAGGCCCCGAAGCATGGAGGAAATACAGGAAGATACACCCAAAGCTTTACCTCCTACTACTCTATATACTACTCTATATATGCTGGTGCCTCACATTGGTAGAACTGAAATGGAAGGGACCAAGAGATAAGGAACTGAGTGATAGAGTCCCAAGCCATAGTGGAAGACTGTGGTGGAGAATGGATGGATCTGGGGGTGAGGTAAAGGGGGAGTAGCCAGCACTGTTTTAAGCAAAATGCCAGAGAAATAACCTGATTACTGTCCTTGGGTTAAAAAGCCAAAACGAGCTGAGTGTGGTGGCTCATGCCTGTAATCCCAGCACTTTGGGAAGCCAAGGTGGGCGGATCACAAGGTCAAGAGATCAAACCATCCCAGCCAACATGGTGAAACCCTTTCTGTAGTAAAAGTACACAAATTAGCTGGGTATGGTGGCGCATTCCTGTAGTCCCAGCTACTCTGGAGGCTGAGGCAGGAGAATTGCTTGAACCTGGGAGGCAGAGGTTGCAGTGAACTGAGATTGCGCCACTGCTCTCCAGTCTGGCAACAGAGCGAGACTCTGTCTAAAAAAAAAAAAAAAAAAAGCCAAAACAAAACACTTTTGTGCCAGTATAAATGGACAGCACTCATTTTATGACTAAATCTATCATGCGTTAAAGAAACATTCAATATATTTAACTAACAAATAACTTTAGTTCAGTTTTCTCTTCACAAAGCCACTTCTGAAACCTAGTTGGCACCTAATGTATGTGTGATTTTACCAGTAAGGTTTCTAATTCCAGTTTGATTTTTCTGGTCAGGAAATTTACATTATTATGTTAATTTAATACAAAGTCTCCAAGGCTTGTAGCAGATCATCCCTACCTCAAGGTCAAAGCTAGAATTCAGCCATCTATAGGTAATATGTCAAAAGATGCTGTCCCCTTATTCTGATAGTAAGAGGGGTATTCAGGCCTTTAACAGTAGATGTTTGACTTTTAGGCCATTCAAATATATAAATCAGTGGGTTTACCACTATTGTATTAAGCAGTGACCACTTGTTTCCTCTTGCAGAGAACATCATGGGAATGCTATGCAGCCCTCTGTCAAGGATAACAGTGGTAGCCATGGCTCTCCTATCAGTGGAAAACTAGAAGGCATCTTCTTCAGCTGCAGCACTGAATTCAATACTGGAAAGCCACCCCAGGATTCACCTTATGGAAGATACAGGTTTGAGATTGCCGCAGAAAAACTTTTTAACCCCAACACTAACTTATACTTTGGGGACTTCTACTGTATGTACACTGCTTATCATTATGTGATTCTTGTGATTGCTCCTGTGGGATCACCAGGAGATGAATTTTGTAAGCAGCGCCTTCCTCAACTAAATTCTAAGGATAATAAATTTTTGACCTGTACAGAAGAAGATGGGGTGCTGGTTTACCACCATGCCCAGGATGTCATTTTAGAAGTCATTTACACTGACCCTGTGGATCTTTCTCTGGGCACCGTGGCAGAAATCACTGGTCATCAGCTCATGAGTTTGTCTACTGCAAATGCAAAGAAAGATCCCAGCTGCAAAACCTGTAATATCAGTGTTGGACGTTAATGCCCACTTTTCTTATTCTTACTCAGCCCCTTTTCCTCCATTAGGAGCATTGGTCCTGTTGTCCATTTTCATCACCAGATGTTTTCCACTGAAGCATGCACATGCCACTGTCACCAAAAACGAACTACCACTTTCCAAATTCCATTCAGAGCCATTTTAGTGTTTTCCTATTCCCTACCCCTCCCACTACTTTCAATGATGAAATACCCTAAGTTCTTCTTCTGACACTTTATTGCCTAGATGCTGCAATGTTTTTATGTTTCCTTTATGCCAAACATAACAAAACAGTTATATAGACCGCTTTAGCAAAGTACACAATAATGGCTTATAAATGGTGTTTAAATATGCATTCATTTTAATCTACTGAACAAATATTGGGATAACTCCAAACCGCATGAAAGGGTGTAATTGCAGCATGAGTTAAATCTTGAAGCCTAGAATTGTCAGCACTTCCAACTTCTTGTTTGACAGTGTTATTTATGTTATTTATATTAGCTAACAGGAAACAACTACTGTGTTTCAACATAATAAATATAATAGAAAAATATTTTATTTGTATTGTTGTATAAAATATTTACAATCATATAGAATATATAGAGTTACATTTTAATAGCAATTGTGTACATGTCACGAAACCATTTCCCTTATCAAAGATGTAATTTGTAAACCTCAAATAGTTGTGTATCTGTCCTGTTACAAGTAGATGACTTCAATTAAACAAATGTATGAAGGACATTATTCTGATTCATAAAAGTTATAAAATATTAGGTAAATACAGAGAAAACAATAAGCCTCTGAAATAGTCTGTTTCTGAAATAGTCAATAGTCTTCCCATCCAAACTATAAGAAAATGTGAATTTCTTCAACATCATACTTAAACGTTACAGAAAATAGAAATACAAACAAGGTTGGTATATGAGAGAAAATGTTGACCTTTTACTTCCTTTTACAAAAATGAAAATAATAAACATGTTTTAGTATAAAATAACACAAAATGATATACACTAAAGTTGATGAAGCAAATAAATATTCTGGCTTCTTTTTCAAGGTATCAGGGCAATTTCCAAACCTTTCATTTTGTACAGAAGGAAGAATAACTACAGCTCATGGGAAATGTTTTGACTTTACAAAGTATAGATGTTGGAACATTAAGAAAAATGTATATTCCCAATGAAAAAATAGTTATATCATCTTATAGTAAACAAAAAGATTAGCAATAATACTATGGACATATTAGATTATATACTGCAGACACATATCTATCCAAAATACCTATTTTAAATTTTTAATACAATATTTTATTTTAATATAAACATCTGTCAGTTATAGACAAAGATAATAATTCACAAAGTACATGCTATCAGAATGAACTTTGGTAACCAGAAATGTAAAATTTCAAATAACAGATAAAATAATGTGTTATTTTTATAGAGAAATAAAAAAAATAGCAGTAACACAATCTAGGTTATTTTAGGGTACTGAGAGCCTAGCAGACTTAAGGGACAAGGTAGTAAATGTTTCATCTCTCAAAAATCCATTAGAAGTTTCAAATAAATTACTTTCTTGCTAGGTACATTCCTTCCTACTTGAAAAGTAGAATTTCTTTTCCTCCTCTGATTGATTTTTAAAAATCATGCTCTTTTCCATACATCAACATAAACAATCTTTAGATACTAAATAAACTTTCCCTAACAAGCATCCTAGCTATGTTATTTAGATTTGATAAAATATTAGACATTTTTTAAAATACTTGTATTGACTATGAGTTTTCTGCTTGGCATGGAGGACACTGAATTTTTTCCCAATTATAAGGCTACCTGTTGTATCCTTCCCCCCATTTAAATCCCTTCTCCTTGTATATAATTAAACTTGCTATTCCTTCTTGAAAACAGCTAATACTACCACTAAAGTGCTTGCATTTTCATTGTGTCAAAACTACTTAGCAAGGATGGCAGAGGAAAATAAACTTTACTTTATATCATGGGTGAAAGTGATCATAACATTTCCTGAACCTCAAATAGTTTTGGCCACATCTTGCTTGCTGATGAGGACCTCTAATAGTCTCAGTTTGGCTTTTATGTGCTTATATTCGTAGTACTCATCTGCCATTGGTATCCTATCTTCCTTTTGTGGACTTCTGCAAAACAAAAATACATTTATTAGTTCACAATGAATCAAGTCATTATTAAATATTCTTTTATAATTCATACATGAGAAAGTATACTGTGACAGCTTCCACTTGGTTTTTGCATCATGTCTTCTTTTCCTTCCCTTTCACCTTCATTCACTCCTTCTTCTATGTGTTACTAAACTTCTAAATAACAGTAACCTTTGAAAACTTGAATGTCATACGTGTTTTGCAAATATGTGGCTAGTGCTTAGACTTACAACAATGGAGTAAGTGAAAAGATCTAAGGAGAAACAAACAAACAAGAAATAGAACTTTCAAGGCATTCTTTGTCCTGTCATTATTCCATTATCTGCCACAGCCCTACACCTGTACAAAATGTTCAGCCTTAATAGAGTTGTCAAAAATTTTAACCTGAAAATACTACAGAAATTTCATTATAAAAATCATTTATAAACTTATGGTAACAAGAAAAGCATTCAGGGTCTGTCTTACAAACTTGAAACGTTTCCAGATTGTCTTGTAATTGTAATACCTATCTCTGCTAATATGTAATAGAACCACTGAGCTGGTCCTTGATTGAAGTAATTTATGAGAGTCTAAATTGTGGTGGTTCTCTTCTGTACACTAATTCTACTAAGGCTAGACATGTAACAATGCATAGATTTTTATACGTATGCGTACATATACTCTTGCTGTTTACTTGGAAGAATAACTTGGTAATATCAGGAGTTAAAACCATTTGCCTTCCCACAAAAATATGTTGTCAAGATACGTTTTCTAAAGGGAATAATTGTGACAGGGTCTCAGAAGACTCTTGTTTTCTTGGTTAATAAGATAGCCAATTGCTTTGAAAACATTTCCACCCAGGACTTTGAAATTCAAGGGGTAGAGGACACAGATATAGTCACCACAATTACAACTGAATATAACCACAAATATTCTCTAACAGTATGGCTGAAACCAGGTAAATAGCATATATTTAATGTTTTATCTTTAGCTCCCTTCTATTTTTCCCAGTAATGATAAAGAGATATTTCTATCTCTTACCAAATAAAAAACAAGCTAATCTATACAGATTAAGAATATAGTATCTACTTGTATTTCAACACTATTTATTGCCCTGCAATTTCTAGTACAGAACTCAAAACAGTATACAAATCCATAGACAGCATTCTTCTTGACTATTGTCTAAAGTATATAACATAAATCCTTTGTCTCCATTCTGTGTTATGAGTCAAACTTATCATAACTGGATGTCTGAATATCACCTTAATTTGTATAAATAGATCTAAGTAAAGAAATTGTCTAATTATTACAGAGAAACATTAATAATCCATTATGTAATTTTCCCTAGTTTTGCATATTCCATTTTGGCTAATAAGAGTGCTTTGACAAGAATGGAAAGTTTTGCCAAGTCTTTCCTGAAGCAGTTTCCCCATTATATAAAACATACTAAAGTGCTTAGCACAGTTCCAAGCTCATAATTATTAATAATAATGTAATATCTATATGATTCTCATGCCTCTTGTATGGCAAATATTACCAAGAATATTTATAGTGCCTTAAACATTTTAGTAATCCATTTGCATGGTTATTTTACCTTACTGATACTTAGGCCTTCCCAATAAAATGTCTTAGATAAACAAAATTAAGGTCCATATTTCCTAGCCACTCAACTGTTTGATTTTAGTTGTAAAAGATCATCACTTGTGCATTTGGTTGAAATATATCACCACAAGGGGGCATACAACTTCATAGCCATATATAGGCTTATCTGAAGTGGGTTTAAGACTCATAGGTACAGTGGAACACCATACCTAGAACATAACTAACTTCCCTGTATGACAAAAGCATACCAAGTGGCACTGCAGATCCACTGGGCAGAACTAGTAGCACACTGGGAAGTTCTCAAACCCCTTACGATAGATTCCTGGGTTCAAATTGCTAAAAATATAAATTTATTCAGGGAACTCAAATTTATGAAATGAATGTATGCACATCTTAAAGTGTCATTTCTCATATGTAATGACTGTTTAGATTTAGAATATTTGATAACATCTCCACAAATATTTCCCTGAATGAAAAATTCCCATAGAATACCTTTAATCCAAAAGAGGCAGAGATCAGGAACTTTATAGTGCAAGTCGCATATTTATCCAAGGTATAATAATAGCAGACAGTCCAGACAAAGTTACTACTCCAAGGAATGTTTTACAAGGAATGTTACATGAACATTTTATAGAAGAAAAAAGGATGGAAAAGGAAAAATAATAACAAATGCTTTATGTTCTAAATTTATGAGCCACATAACATTTCTCACTAGATTAGTTAACATCACCATAAAGGTAAGTTGGACTTTTGCAATCAACTTGAAAGGAAGATTCCAACTAGAAAATAAGTTGATACATCTGTGTTGGCTGAATGCAAAAAGCTTTTCACTCAGTAGGTCCAGTCCCAAAGAATATCCTGGTAGGCTAAAATGGAAAACCTGCCAGGGACTAAGGTGAGTAGACCACACAATTCATGTATTTATGTTGAGATTTATTGTGCAAAGTTAGAGATTTTTAGAGTTTAACTTTTATTTTTTACAGATTGATGTCATACCTGACAGCTACCATGTCCCATAAAACATCCCTAATATTGGCAATATTAGAATGTTGCATTGGACAAATCCTGAGTCTAAGCCAGTGTGAAAATGATATACATTTTGTAAAAAGTCACCATTCCTGCAAAAAATTGCAGGTCATTTTTAACAGTAATTCTCTAGGAAGTATTAGCTTTAAAAATCTCTCTGCCCACACGTACCTTCCTGTTTGTTTAAAAAACTGTTCTTCAAATTCTCTTAAGGCTTTCCGCAGTCTCTTCTTGTCAGCCCTAGTTTCTCGGAGATGGTCAAGAAGTACAGGCCTATATAAGGTAGAATATTTGTCATTACTGGGCACTGGCACAATTGAGAGATCATCGTGAGCAGATTTATCTGTTCAGCCAAAAAAGCATACTACAATTGAAAAGTGTTCTGAGCATAAGAGTGTCTTTTGGGTAAATATGACACACATAGAGCCTGACCATAGGCAAGCACATAAGCAGGGAAAATTACCTGATGGAAAAAATATCACAAGATATGGGAAAGGACAGACAAGAGGCAAGCAGATTGATTGAATCCACTGAAAGAACTGGAAAGGGTAACAGCAATATAGATGGATGAGGGAAGGGATATTTTGAAGGAATACTCATCAGGATTTGGTGATAGACTGAACATAAGAGATACAGAGGAACAGCTTTTAAAGAAAATTCTATTCTTAATCTAGAGAAATAAGTGTAGGAATATTAGGAGAATGGCATAACCCCTGTGAATGAAAATAAGACCTAGAAGAAAGCTATAGTTACATTGTGAATTCTACTCACTTCATTCTACT